GCTGTGAAAACCAATGAATCCCAAGATTGGTAGGCAAGACTGCATTTAAGCTGCTAGCTCAAGTCCGGAGAACCAGAGGTCAGATGAACAGGAGCCAGCTGCAGGATCCAGAGCAAGTAAAAGCCCATGAACTGTGCCAGAGAAATGCAGGCCACACTCCCAAGGAAACTCCCTTTCAACTGACTGGCAACTCACAGCAGATCCCATCATGGAGGTGATCACATTATATCAAATCTTTTCATGGAAGTGATCACATCATCATATGACTGCCAAACTACATCATAACTGCCATAACTGAGAATCATGGCCCAGCCAATGTAACGATCACATATGGCTATACCACATTTTGTTTATCCATTCATCTGTTGATGGAAACTTGGGTTGTTTCCAAGTTGTTGTGTTTTAAGAGTTATTTCTATATTTTGGATACTTCAGATGTATTTATATTTATATATATATATATATATGTATTTACCATGTGTATGTGTATTTTCTCCCATTCTGTGTGTTGTCTTTTTACTGTCTTGATAGTGTCCTTTTTACACAAAACTTTCTCATTTTGATGATGCTCAATTTATCTATTTTTGTTGTTACTTGTGCTTTTGGTGTCATATTTAAGAAATCATTGCCAAATCCCAGGTCATAAATACTTGCCCCCATGTTTTCTTCTAAGAGTTTCATAGTTTTAGCACTTACATTTAGGTCTTTGATCCATTTTGAGTTAATTATTGTATATAGTGCAAAGTAGGGGTTCAACTGCAGTCTTTTGCATGCAGATATCTGGTCGTCTGTCACCATTTGTTAAAGAGATACTTCTTTTCCCATTGAATGGTCTTGGTAGCTTTGTAAAAAATCAGTTGAACATAGATGTATAGGTTTATTTCTGGACTTTCAAGTCTATTACATTCATCTGTATGTCTTTCCTTATGTCACTACCCTTCTGTCTGTATTACTATACTTTGTAGTAAGTTGTTAAATTGGGAAGTTTGAGTCCTCTCACTTTGGTTTTTTGTCCCCCAAGATTGTTTTGGTTATTCGGTTACACATGAATTTCGGGATAGACTTTTCCATTTATGCACAAAAGGCTATTTGTTATTTTCATCAAGATTGCATTAAATATATAGATCTATTAGAGGAATTGACATTGTAACAATATCAAGTCTTCCAATCCACGAGTCCAGGATGTCTTTCCATTTATTGAGGACTTCTTTTATTTCTTTCAGCAGTGTTTTGTTGTTTTCAGTGTACAAGTCTTGCACCTCCTTGGTTAAATTTGTTCTTAAAAATTTTATTCTTTTTGATGCTTGTGTTAGTTTTCTAGGGCTGCCATAACAAACATACCACACACCAGGTAGCTTATAACAGCAGAATTTTATTCTCTCACAGTTTTGGAGGCTAGAAGTCTGAAATCATCGTGTTCACAGGGAATGCCCCCTCTAAAGCCTCTAGGGAAGGATTCTTCTTTGTGCCTTCCAGCATCTGGTAGCCCCAGGTGTTCATTGGCTTGTAGACAGATCACTCTAATCTCTGCTCTGTCTTCACATGCTGTCTTCTGTGTTTCTTTGTATCTCTTTATCCAACCCAGTACAGTGCTCCCTCTAGTCTCCCAAAATTCATGTCCATCCCACATACAAAATATATATACCCCATCCCAACATTCTGAAAAGTCTTAAGCCATTCCAGCATCAACTCTAAGTCCAAAATCTCATGTAAGTATCATCTAAATCAGGTATGGGTGGGACTCTGGTGTGATTCATTTTCGGGCAAAATTCCTCTCCATCTGTGGACCTGTGAAACTAGAAAACAAATTATCTGCTTCCAAAAAACAATGATGAGACAGGTATAGAATAGACATTTCCATTTCAAAAGGGAGAAAACAGAAAGAATAAAGGAGTTATTAGTCCAAATTTAGTTTGTAACCTAGCAGGGAAAATTCCGTTAGTTTTCAAAGCCTGAGTATAATTATCTGTGACTCTATGCTCTGTCCTCTGCGCCCAGCCTCTTGGTCCTTCACAGCAGGCCCACCATGTCAGCCCTTGTTGGTGGTGGCCCCATCCTCTGGAACCCAGGAGATTGTGCCCTACTCACAGAGCCCCTGGTGTCAGCATAATGCCTCTGACCCCTGAGCCCCCTAAGAGCCATTCTTTCCTTTTCTGAAGGATGCTTTCCTCATTTTGTCCCTTCTCTGTCCCTTTCAGTACAAGCTGGCAGTGTTTCTGCTGAGATAGTTGATTGGATCCTTGAGTTACACACCTAATCTCTTCATCAAAAGATTGTCCCTCCACACTCCTGGCTCTAAGTCCAGAGCATGCTATCTAGATAGGCTGAGAATTATCCCAATCAAGTTCTGGTTCCTTTTTGCTTAGGAGTTCCTTCCTCAATACTATAAGCCCAGCAAGAAGAAACCAGGCTGCACCTTCCACACTTTGCTTGGAAGATTCCTCAGCTAAATATCCAAGTTCATCACTTGCAAGTTCTACTTTCCACCCAATGTTAGAACATAATTCAGCCAAGTTCTCTGCCACTTTATAACAAGGCTTGCCTTTCTCCAGTGCCCAATAACATGTTCATCATTTCCTTCTAAGGCTTCACTGGAAGTATCTTTAACATCCATAATTCTACCAACCGTTTCTTCAAGGAAATTTAGGCTTTTTCTATCAAGCACCACACCATTCTTCCAGCCTCTACCCATTACCCAATTCCAAAGTCACTTATATATTTTTAGGTATTTGTTAACAGCAGCCGTCCACTTCCTGGTACCAAAATCTGTGTTTGTTTTCTTGGGCTGCCAAACCAAACTACAACAAACTAGATGTCTTAAAACAACAAATTTGTTCTTTCACAGTTCTGGAGGCTAGAATTATGAAATCAAGGTGTCAGCAAGGCCATGCTCCCTCCAAAGGCTTAGCTAGGGGAGAATCCTTCTCTGCCTCTTACAGGTTCTGGTAGCCCCAGGTGTAGCATAACTCTAGTCTCTGCCTCCATCTTCACATGGACTTTTCCACTCTGGGTCTCTCTGGGTCTGTTCTCTTCATATAAGGATATTAGTCATATTGGATTAAGGTCCACTATACTCCAGTATGACCTCCTCTTAACTGATTACATCTGCAATGACCTTTTTCCAAGTAAGGTCATATTCTGAGGCACTGGGAAAGATGTGGATTTCAGGGGGACACAATCCAACCCAGTACAATTCTATTGTAATGGAATTATTTTCTTAATTTCCTTTTTGGATTATTCATTGCTAGAATATAGAAATACTGTTGATTTTTGCATGATGATCTTGTATCCAACAACTTCCCTGAATTTGTTTTATTAACTCTCATAGTTTTTATGTGGCTTCTTTAGGATTTTCTACATATAAGATCATGTCATCTGTGAGTAGAGATAGGTTTACTTCTTCCTTTCAATTTTGATGCCTAATTGCTCTGGCTAGAACTTCCAGTACAATACTGCATAGCATTGGTGAGAGCAGGCATCCTTGTCTTGTTCCTGATCTTAGGGGGAAAGCATTCAGTTTTCCATCTTTGAGTATGATGTTAGATGTAGGTTTTTTTCATAAATGTCCTTTATCATGCTAATGAATCTCCCTCCTAACCCTAGTTTTTTGAGCCCGTACTGCAGAGACACTGTGGTGATTAAAGGTCCAAGGGGTACTGGTGGGGCACTGCCAGTCAGCATGATGACTGGCTATTTCTTTTTTTTTATTGTACTTTAGGTAAAGGTTTACAAAACAAATAGTTTCTCATTACACAGTCAGTACACATATTGTTTTATGACATTGGTTAACAACTCCATGACATGTCAACACTCTCCCTTTTCGACCTTGGAGGACCTTTTTTTTTTTTTCTTTTTTGGTGAAAATATACATAGCCAAAGATACACCATTTCGAAAATTTCTACATGTACAATTCAGTGACATTTATTACATTCTTCCAGTTGTGCTGCTATTCTCACTATCCTTTTCCAAATTATTCCATCACCATTGTCTTCAACTCACTGTCCCCTAGGTTTCCCATCACACCTTTTGAGTTGCTGTTGTCAATTTGATCTCACATAATTCTTTTTTTTTTTTTTTGTACTTTAGATGAAGGTTTACAGAACCAAATAGTTTCTCATTAAACAGTTAGTACACATATTGCCCTATGACAATGGTTAACAACCCCACGACATGTCAACACTGTCCTTTCTCAACCTTGGGTTCCTCTATCACCAGCTTTCCTGTCCCCTTGACTGGCTATTTCTTTGGGTCTCTTCCACAGGGGCTGACTGTACAATAACCCACTGATCCTTGATCCCCTTCTGCTCTGGGCTGCCCACACAGGGGCTCAGTGTGGAGGTGATTCCTTTGCCTGTGGTCTTGTGGCCCAGTTTTTGTCTGTCTGATTCCATTCTCTAGGCCTCACTCCTGGGTTAGCCTTCGAAGCTCAGATCTCCCTGCCATAGCCCTGGGCCTGTTTGGGCCATGGAAGGGCAGGAGGGTTGAAGGTGAGGGTGAGGGATGAGCAGCTCTTGGTACACTGGGGTAGGTTCTTGGTCCTCTAGGGCGGTGTTAGTTCACTGGGATGGGTCTGGGTCCATGCAGAGCCCCCAGGATGACTTCTGGCTGCTGTACCCTCACTGTCTTTGCCTCAGCTGTGCTTGGCCACCACAGTGACCAGGGTGGCATGGCAGCCCTCCACTGGGGAAGCTCCAGGGCAGCTGGGATGGAATGGCAGGATTCCAGTTTGGAGTTGTCTTTATGCTGCTGAGCCCTGGAGAGACTAGAGCTACCAAATAATGATCTCCAGTTGCTTCCAGTGCCCCTGTGGAGCTGGGACTGGCCTAGTGCTTTCATCATGCAGAACAGTTGCAACGTGGCTGACCTGCATATTGTTGTTGATTCTCTTAGTCAGGATTGGACTTTATCATACTTTCGGGCCTGGAGTGTGCAGCTTCAATACGGCCATATGGGTCACATGGGAGGGAAACTAACCATAGTGCTTGTGTTGTCTCTGCAGCCAAGTGCAAGGTGGTCATCACTGTCAACCAGGGGCTCCGGGGTGGCCGTGTGACGGAGCTGAAGAAGATTGTGGATGAGGCCGTGAGGCTCTGCCCCACTGTAAGGCGTGTCCTGGTGGCCCACAGGACTGACAGCAAGGTCACCATGGGGGAGTTGGATGTCTCGCTGGAGCAGGTAGGTTCACCTTGCATGGCATAGCCTGAGGAGGGAGCCTGGGTTTCCTGGGTCTGAGGCTTGCCAGTTGTGGTACTCAATCTGGATCCGCGGAGGTGCCCATGTCCCTCTGTACTCATAGTGGGTGACATCCTGGGTCGGAAGGTAGAACTTAAATGCCACAGACACATTGGAACATGTACAGATGTAACGCACCATTCAGACTGGACATGTCCTTCTATATTGTGTCTTCTCCGCCTTTGGAATTGGGCTTGGGCAGGCCAGAGAGGATGAGCTCCAGATTTGGTCCGCTGTGTCCTGCAGTGCTGAGGGAAAGTGTCTCCAGGAGTGGCAGAATGCCCTGGACAGGCTGCTGTGTCTTCTTCCGCACAGGAAATGGCCAAGGAGGACCCGGAGTGCGCCCCAGAGAGCATGGGCAGTGAGGACGTGCTTTTCCTGTTGTACACCTCGGGGAGCACCGGCCCGCCCAAGGGAATCGTGCACACCCAGGCGGGCTACCTACTGTATGCAGCCCTGACTCACAAGGTGCATGGCCTCTGCAAGGGCGGGCAGCCTCCTCTGAGGACAGGTGATGGAGGCGGGGTCGCTCCCCCCACAGGCTCTGGGGTGTGTAGTGGGGTGCTGGACTTAGGGCTGAGCCCCTGCTGCTGTAGAGTCCCGGCACGCAGGTGTGGGTGCTGGAGATTTCTCACAGTGCTCCTGAGCAGGCCCTGAAGCAGTGAGGCCAGGGTAGGGGCAGGGAGCCAGTTTCTTCCTCTCTGGGAGAGGATGTTAAGGGCTACGGCTTCTCAGGGAAGAGAGCTTGAGTCTGAAGGGGCACCTGTGATATGAGTGGATTTGGGTGAATGTGAGGTGGGGCCAGGGCTTGGGCGGCTGCTGGTTTTGTCTTTTGGGGAAAGGCTGGCCCAGCTGCCTGCTCATCCGTCAAGAACCACAGGTAGAGAACATCTCCATCCCTGAGACAGACCTGGCAGGATTAGAAATCCTTTTCAGTTCCTGCATGCTGTGGGGCTTCAGGATGTGGGCGTCACAACTCACCAGTGCGCACTGCCTTTTTCATGAGTAAAAAACGCGTTCTTCCTAGATGGAATCCTCCCTTCCCCCTTGAGAGAGAGCTCTGCAGGACCCTGGCTGCCACACGGCCACTGCCGCCATCTGGAAACGTTTCCTGGAGAATCTGAACCTGTCTGTGGCAGCGTGAGGCTGCAGGACACGCGTGCAAAGATTTAAAAATATATATTTTTATTGTAAAACAGGACACAGATGCAGAAACCTGCCCAAAAAGAATGATGACTTAAAGCATATTACAAGGCAAATGCCACTCTGACCAAGAATCCACACAGAAACCCCTTCCATATGCCCTGCCCAACCCCCACCCACACAGAGACATCCCTGATTTTTACCACCATCACTTCCTGTGCTTTTCTTTCTGTAGTGTGTCACCCAAACACACATCTCTACACATTGTAGCTTACTCTTGCCCATTTAAAAAGTTCAATATATCTTTTAAGTCTTGGTCCTGTGAGGCTCTGTGGGCTGGGTGTTGCCCATTGGCCCTCTGTCATCTGTGTCCCTGCGAGTTGGCAGCTGGGTCCAGAGACCGGGTCAGACTCAGGTTGGGCTCCTTGGCAAGATCGCAGTGACGCATGTGTCTCAGCTCTGTGGTCTTAGAAACTGATGAGGCCAACCATTTCTTGGTGTTTTTGGATTTCACTTTTTGCAGTTCTTGAAAGGATTTGAAAAATTGTGGTATCATTGAATGCAGAAAGGTGCCAACATCTTAAATGTACAACTAGATAGACTTTTACCTATGGATGCAAAGTGTGACCCCCACCTGCATCAATACTTGGGGGTTTCCCAGCTCCCTGAAGGCTCTTGTATGCCCCCTTCCATGTCCCCCCCTGCTGCCGTCAGCCTATCAAGGATGACCCTGATCCCAAATTGTCAGCACAGATCATTTTGTCTGGGTTTGAACTTCATGTACATGGTTGCCAGTGGGCCGCTGAGGGGCAGTTCCCCAACCCTGGGTGGGTGGCCCCCTGAGAGGCCACAGTTACAAGATGCTGTATGTGCATGCTCTTTCCTGGCAGTGTGGGATAGTGGGGGCGTACTCCTGACGGCCCCTCCCTCTGTCTACAGCTTGTGTTTGACTACAAGCCAGGAGACATCTTTAGCTGTGTGGCCGACATTGGCTGGATCACAGGGCATAGCTATATAGTGTACGGACCGCTCTGCAACGGAGCCACCAGCGTCCTTTTTGAGAGCACTCCAGTTTATCCGGATGCCGGTGAGGACTGGGGGCCCTGTTTGGGACCCCATGCTGGGGCAGGGAGGGAGCTCGAGGATTGTGGTGGAGTTGTGAAAAGGTGGAGAGCTGCACTCTGGACGGGGTGTGGTGTGGCCCCGTTGAGCAGATGCCAGTGAACCTGGAGCTGCTGGGCATGGGCTCATTGGGCTGCCCCCCATCTCTGTGATATCAGATGAGTGGAAGGAGGGAGTCTGGTGGGCTCTGGAAGACAACTCTAGGCCACTATTCCAGCATTCCCACCCCTCTGACTTACGCTGCCCTCTCACCTCTGTGGCCACTTGACCATCCAGCCCTTCCTCAAAGCCCGGCTGGCTGTCAGCCTCTCGGGTCTCCCCGATAGAAGGAGACCTCCATACCTGCCCTGTGCCTTCAGGGCTGTGCTGGGACTGCACCTACCTCAGGCTGAGAGATGGCCTGGCATCCTCTCTGTAACTCAAGGCTGATGGAGGAGCTTTGAGAGCACAGCCCTGGCTTCCTTATCTTGGCATCTTCCCCCTACAGCTCAGTGTCCCCCGATATTCATTTTAATTGAGTCGAATTGTAGTGGCTCTGCTGGAGGCTCTTACCAAGCACGCATAGCTCTGTAATTTGTGTGCACGGAACTCCCTACCATCTCCTCTAGCTCCTCTTGCCATCAGTTGGAAGGGGAGCGCAAGGAAGAACATGTCAGGACACAGTTCAGAGGCTGAGAGCCTGTCTTTATGGCAATCTCAGGCTGACCACCATAACCACGTGAGGCTCTGTTCCCTTCTGTGGAGCAGGGCTTGTATGAAGCCTAGTGCATGCTGAGAACTCCCAGGAGCACCACTCACCACATAGAGACTATTTAAATGCGATTGAACAAGAGTTCTGTGTCAGCCACAGGGTGATTATAACATTCCCAGTTGTGTCCCTTGGACCCAAGTCCTCACTGTGTCACGTGGAATACAGACGTGCAGATGGAAACAGTGCCGAACCGTGCTCCCTAAACGTTTCCCCCTGTTGCGCGTGACCTAAGTCTCATTCTGCACTTGTGCACTGTTCTTACTGTAGACATCTCCAGGCAGGGTTGCTAGATCAAAGGTTGTCTCTGTCTTTAATTTGGGCAGACTTTGCCAAGTTAGGGTGGGGTGCTTGAAGGGCTGGATGAGCTGTGTGGGTGCAGAGCACCTTCATCTTCCAGTAAATAACTCTGCATGCTTTCTGTGAACGCGTGAGATGTGTGCACGGATCCAGCATGTGGGACTCGCTGGCTTATCTCTAACGGACATGGGGCAGTTATGCTCAGAGGGCTGCACTGACTGTGAACTGGGCCTTTCTGCAGGCCGGTACTGGGAGATGGTGCAGCGGCTACAGATCAACCAGTTCTACTGTGCCCCGACAGCCGTGCGGCTGTTGCTGAAGTACGGAGACGCCTGGGTGAAGAAATATGACCGCTCATCGCTGCGGACCCTGGGCTCAGGTGAGCCTGCCCCGTGGCAGGGGACAGTGGGTGGACCGGAGTCTGGCAGAGGCAGAACACACTTCCAAATGCTCTTCCTCATGAAGGGCTACGTGGCTGTGCAGGTGGGGGACACATCCCCGCCCCCAGCCCACCCACCTCCTGCCCGTAACCCTGTCCCCGGAGCCGACACCATTCTGTGTCTGAGTTCTGTAGCTTAATCTTTATTACAAATACTTACCAACTCAGTAAATTAAGGCCTGCATCATTTCTTCAGCGACTATGGGATTTAATTGTATAACTATGATTGTACACTTTAATTCACTAAACGTTTCCCCAGTGTTGCTTGTGACCTAAGTCTCATTCTGTACTTGTACACTGTTCTTACTGTAGACATCTCCAGGCAGAGAGTTGCTAGATCAAAAGTTAGCTCTTTAATTTGGGCAGACCGCCAAATCCTGTACAAGGCATCCTGGGAAGGTGCTGTGGGAGTAATTCACACAGTGTCCAGGAGTGAAACGTACGCATGGGTGTGTAAGGATTGTCAGCGCTGTGGGTATGAGGTCTGCTGAGTGTGTGTCCTGTATGCAAAGGGGGTGAAACCTCACTTGCAGGGTTGTGAGGATAAGATGAAAGAACATATGTAGAGTTCTGAAACATGGCGGCCATCCTTAAGAATTGCTCTCAAATTCCCTTTCTCCTCTTTCCCCTTTTTGCATAACAATAAAAAACCTTCTCTGTTTTCCAAAGAACTTTCTAGATTAAGTAACGGGAGGGATTTGAATACTATTAGTAATAACCAGACCCATTGCTGTCAAGTCGATTCTGACTCATAGCAACCCTAAAGGACAGAGTAGAACTGTCCATAGGATTTCCAAGGCTGTAAATCTTTACAGAAGCAGACTGCTACATCTTTCTTCCACCTATTAATAATAGCCAATATTTATTAAATACCTCAATCCTCATGTCAACCCTGTGAGCTAAGCACTGATGTCGTCCCCATTACAGAGAAGGAAACGGAGGCACAGAGAGGTCGCAAAGCTTGCCCAAGGTCACTCAACAAGCAAGCCAGAAAGCCTGTGCTGAGCGCCGTGCCTGGCTCCAGAGCCTCTTTGACACCCACCCCCAGTAACCCTCACAGGTGTCTAGGGCCCCAGGTCACCCTCTGCCCCCTCCCCAGCCTGGAGAGCCTCACTCCCCTCCACCTCTCAGGATAACAGCCCTCCCTCCAGGCCTTCTCTGCGTGTTCCCCTTGTCTGGTGTATTTTCTGTGACCCTGTACTCCAGTCAGGGCATCTGTACTTGTGCTGTTGGCTTTGCTGGGTGTGTGTGCACACAGAGCATGGCGCAGCACAGCCGTCCTCCTGTGCTCTCACTATAAAGCTGTCAGGGCAGGCAGGAGCTGGGAGTGTGGTCATGAGCCCTTGGCTGGTCTGGCTTTGTCTCCTGACTGGCACGGAGCTCCCAACTCCCCGCACGAAAGAAGCTGAGTGGACAGTGAGTGATGTGCAATCAGCGAGAGTCAGGGCCACCCTCAGCTGTGCCACCCAGGACACGGCAGTGCACGGGCAGGGATGCAGACTGACCACCCAGGAGTGCGAGGCCCGGTGCCGCCCTGAGGGCACCGGATGCCGGGAGAGGACTCCTTCTCAGAGAGCAGGCCCTCCATGTGCGGGCACACGTGTGTCTGAGTGGCCAAGTTTGGGGTCAGCAGGAACGGGGACACGTGGCATCGTCTCAGTAAGAGCCGGGCCCCTTCTGGGTGGGTTGTGAGTCTGAGACCCCTTCGCAGCCTTCCGGGGCTGTAGAGGGCAAAAGGTTTGTTCTTGCCTGGTGGCCCAGTGTGAAGGGACAGGGCCTGCCACCCAGCTCTGTGCTCTGTTCAAGCAGTGCCTGGAGACCTAAAGGAAACGCACGTGTGGCTAGCGCAATGGTTGCCTGCATGGATCCTTGGCCTCTAGGTGGGCCCCAGGCTCTGATTGCTGGTTCGCGCTTCATAGGGGCCACTGAATGGGGCCGAGTGGGGAGAGGGACAAAGGGCACCCACATGACTGGTTGCTAAGGAGACTCCTGGGATCTGTGGCAAAACGGCAGCTCTGTAGTGTACTTCAGGACAGGATGCGCTACAGCAACTGCATGAGAGTGAGGTCCCCCCACCCTGAGACCCGGCACAGCCCTGCTGGCCTCCCCGTGAGAGCTGAGGCTGACAACCTTCTCTCTTGGACCGGGAACGTCTCTGAACCAGGGAGCCCCAAACAGAGGCTTAGTTGGTCTCTGAGCACATCACTAGGGTCCCTGAATGGTGCTAATGGTTTGCTCTTGGCTGCTAACTGAAAGGTTGGTGGCTCAAACCCACTCAAAGTTATTGTGGAAGAAAGGCCTGGTGATCTGCTTCTGTAAAGATTACAGCCAAGAAAACCCTATAGAGCAGTTCTATTCTGTCATGTGGGGTCACTGTGAGTCGGAAGTGACTCGACAGCAACAGGCTTTTCTGGGCACATCCTTGCCATGTCACCAGCTGCAGCGAGAACCCTATAGGTCCTCATGAGATCAGGTGTGAATCAGCCATCTACTATCATCAGTATACTGTGTTGGTGAGCAGCCGCGGACACCCAAGTCCCTCAGGCCCAGCACCACCATCAGTCCGTGTGCTTCATGTCTTGGGGGGTGTCAGTGATAAGCTGGGACATCTCCTATTCCAATAGGCCAGCTCAGACCAGCTCTGGGTCAGCTGGAAGTAACCCTCAGGTACAGCAGGCTTTGGGTATGTTGACTTTCTTTAATCTTCCCTAGGGAGAATCCAGCTAGTTGAAGACTTTTACCCCTAGATTTAATTTGTATAAAAACATTGTTTTTTTCACTTTCAATCTTGTAACACATGAATATGTTTTTGTTGTGAAAAGGAAAAATGGGGAACACTGCAATAAAAGCTAAAGTCCCAGAGAGGCCCCTGTGTGTCTGTGAGCCCTCAGCCTTTTCTGCACAGGTGCAGTCACATGCAAAGACGCAGCTCTGTGGGGAGGCTTCTCCTTGACAGGAATGCTGTCACACTGTACCATGTCCTGTGCTGTTTACCATCGCTCAGCAATGTGGGGGGATTTCTGTGGTCTGCCTTTGTCTGCAGAGGCGCCCACATTCTGGGGGACTGCTGAGGCTTACTCACCCTGTCTGCAGGGTTGGACATGTGGCGCTGGCATTTCCCAGAGAAGCAACCAGTGCGACAGTGGACATCTTCTTGTCACCTTGTGGGAACCCCAGAGGCCCCTGCCAGCACAGGCATCAGAGAGTTGCTAGGTTATGGGTAGCCCTGAGCACCAAGCAACTTGCGTGAAAACGTTTTCGTTGCATGAGCAGCAATATGTCTAAACTGGCAAGCTGCGGCCTACATCAGCCCTGTGTGGGCCTTTCCCCAGGGTAGACACAGAAGGTCGGCTGATGGAGTCATAGGGGATAGGCACGTCTTTTTCCTTCCTATTGAGGTATAAAATTCAGTGAAGTGCACACATCTTGAGTGTTCATCTTGAGGAGTATCTGCCCATATACCTACATGTCCCTACCGCCCATACCAAGCCCAGAAAGCTCCAGGGTGCCCCTCCCACTCAGAAACCCAGTCTACCCTCTCCCGGACCTCTGCCGCTTGCTCCTGAGCCCCATGCACATGGGCTGACCCGTGTGCACCTCCATGCTGCACTCTGCTCAGCCCCATGCTCTGGATTCATCATGCCCTGCTGTGGCAGTGCTTTGCCCATTTCCACTGCCATGTGGTACTTTGTTGCCTGCGTGCACCACTCTTCATGTCTCCATTTTACTCTTGAAGACAGACTTTGGTTTCTGGCTGTTATGAGGAGAGCTGCTCTGGACATTGCCGTGCTGCCTTTTGGGGGACATAAGCACTCATTTCTGCATTACCCAAGAGTGATATTTTTGGGTAATGGGGTTTTATGTTTGGTAATATGTTCATCACAGTTTTCAGTATGAGTTACACCTAAACATGAAGAAAACAAATATCCTCAAAACTGGACCCATAAACAACACGATAAATGGCAAAGAAATTGAAGTTGTCAAGGATTTCATTCTACTTGGATCAACAATCCACACCCATGGAAGCAGCAGTCAGTAAGTGAAACGACCTAGTGCATTGGGCAAATCTGCTACAAATTGCTTTTTTGTTAAAAAGCAAAGATGTCACTTTGATGACTAAGGTGCATCTGATCCAAGCCATGGTCTTTTCAGTTGCATCATATGCATGTGAAAGCTGGACAATGAAAAACAAAGACAGAAGAAGAATTGATGCATTTGAATTGTGGTATTGTCAAAGAATATTGAATATACCATAGACCGCCAGAAGAAGGAACAAATTAGTCTTGAAGAAATATAGTCAGAATGCTCCTTAGAAGTGTGGATGGCAAGACTTGGTCTTGCTTGCTTTGGACACGTCATTGGAAAAGAGCATTTGCTTGAAAAGGACATAATGTTTGGTAGAGTAGAGAGCCAGTGAAAAAGGGAAACCCTCAGTGAGATGGATTGACACAATAGTCCCAACAATGGGCTCAGACATACCAATGATCATGAGGATGGTGTAGGTCTGGTAACGTTTCCTTCTGTTATACATAAGGTCACCATTAGTCAGAGCTGACTCGGTGGCAACTAACAAGCCACAATATATTTAGGAGATTTTGCCAAACAGTGGTCCAAAAAAGTTGTATCAGGTGTATCCATTTTTAAATGTTAAGATAAATGTCCAGATTGCTCCCCAAAATTGCTGCACCAAATTACATCCCCTAGTCTATGGACATTCTTGCCACCTTCTTGATCTTTGACTCTCTAATGGTGAGTGTGGAAACCCTGGTGGTGTAGTGGTTAAGTGCTATGGCTGCTAAACAAAAGGTTGGCAGTTCGAACCCACCAGGCGCTCCTTGGAAACTCTATGGGGCAGTTCTACTCTGCTCTATAGGGTTGCTATGAGTCAGAATCGACTCGATGGCAACAGGGTTGGTTGATTTTTAATGGTGAGTGTCCCAGTGAAATCTGCACTCCTTGCATAACATAGCATGGCATATCCTCTTGCCTTTTCAATCTCCTTTTACATCCTTCAGAAAAGTTACATAGTTTGTTCCCCTCAACAGTCTGTCTGTTTGGTTTCAGCTTACTCTGAGGTCTACTGATGCCTTTTTCCTGTAACTGTGTGATTTCAGTGGGAGAGCCAATCAACCATGAGGCCTGGGAGTGGCTGCACAATGTGGTGGGGGACGGCAGATGCACGCTGGTTGACACCTGGTGGCAGACAGGTGAGAGCATCCCCGAGGATGTGGTGGGGTCACTGGGCATAGGCTGTGCCGGCTTGGGGGTGCAGGGTGAGGGTGAGGTGAGCTTAGTGCTCATGGAAGGTGAATGCAGTCCAGTCCCCCAGGCCTCAACCCTATAGCCGTGTGGGTACTCAGCATGAGGAAGCTCTGCGGTCGGGGCGTGGTGAGATGTGAGGTGTGTAGTGATCTCCCTGAGCCCAGTTTGCGTGTTCATAAATTGGAGGTGCTCCCTCACAGGCTTCTGGGAAGGGTTAGATGAGGTAGTATACCTAAAGTGTGTTGCTCAGGGCCCTGCATGGAGTCAGGCTCAGTTTAATGCTCCCTCTTACCTGTAGGCACCATGTCCTGAACACAACGATGTCTGAGGGTAAGGAGCAATACTGCCTAAGGGACCGTGAGTCCACATTTAAATTGTAGTAGGAAAGGGAATTTTCTCTGTAGCATTTTTATTTGGTTTGTCCCCTCTCCTCTTGGGTATCTGACTTACTAGGATGTTTGGGGCACATCATTGTATACAATGATCTAATGAATGTAGCAGTTGGCAGGCTTGTTCTTGGAGCAGCAGGAAGTGAGATGTCTGGATGGCTAAGCTCCTATCACACTCAGAAGGGCGCCCCCAGAGGCTCCCTGCTCTGCTTCTAGAGACAGGTCCACATGGGCAGAGCCTAGGAATGGTGTGAAGACTGCCCTTGTGCTCCCCTCCTGACTGGTCTGTGTGGAGGGCACAGACCGGAGCCTTCTCCTTCTGTCTTTCCTGTGAGTGGGTGGGCTGCACGCTCTGCATTTAAGCCAGGGCTTGGCTGGAGCAGGATGTGAGGAGCCATGGAGGGGGATGAGGGGGTAGCATCTTACAGCTGTTGGGCACCGGGAGCCCTGAACATGGATGCCGTCTGCCCTAGGCCTAGTCTCACATCTGCAGCTCAGGAGTCAGGAGCCAGGTCTGGGGCTGCTGTAGACCTAGGTTCTCAGGCCGCAAGAGCCTCTGCTTTCTTGCCCCTCCCTAAAACACACTCTTGGAGGGGAACGGCTGTGCAGTTGGCTGTGCCCCTTTGTTGTGTAGTCTGGACAAGGTGATGATGCCCCAGGCCCACTGGCTCTCTTCCTCTTCTGCAGAGACAGGTGGCATCTGCATCGCACCACGGCCCTCAGAGGAGGGAGCGGAGATCATCCCCAGCATGGCCATGAGACCCTTCTTTGGCATTGTCCCAGTTATTCTGGACGAGAAGGTGTGTATGCGCTCGCAGGGTAGCCTCCCTCCCTATCCAGGGATACTGTACCCCCACAGCCCCTGCATGTCTAGGCATGCTGCGCTTATACCACATGGGCCCAGATCTGGTACGCGGAGGCTGGGGGTCCTGCATCAGCACCTATCCCTCGCTAAGAAAACTCCCAGAGGGCGGGCATGAGCTCCTTTGGACCCAGTTCTTATTTGTTGGACTTAAAGAAAACTCCCAGAGGGCGGGCATGAATTCCTTTGGACCCAGTTCTCATTTGTTGGACTTGGGCCAGGGCAGGACTGTGCTGACCTGCCTATCCCTCACACCTGGACCTGCCTATCTGCAGGGGAGCATCTTGGAGGGCGACGACGTCTCCGGAGCGCTGTGCTTCTCACAGGCCTGGCCGGGCATGGCCAGGACCATCTATGGGAACCATCCCAGATTCATGGATGCCTACTTCACGGCCTACCCTGGTGAGCAGGCCAGGTGGGGCCTACAGGCCTCACTACAGACTGCTGGGCCACACTCTCAGAGATGGTTCTAGATTAGTACTGTGAGTGCAGTGTAGCTCTGCAGCTCAGGATGAGCATTACAGAGGCACCTGTGTGGACCCCCTCACCCCCGCCCCCACCCTGTCCCCCTGTCTCTCCTTATCGCTCATGGGGAATGACCCCACTCACGAAGGCACTCCTGCGAGCTCTCAAGAGAAACAGTGAGAAACCACCCTGGAAGCTGTTATTGCAGCAGGGAGTTCCTTCCGGGACATTTTTTTAATTTTTTCCTGGTTTGTTTTTGTGTCACTGGGTTGAAAGTTCATTTGAACACTATCTCCTGTGTCTTGGTGCCATCAGTAGTTTTCGGTCTCAAGCTTGTAAATGAGGCTCATTCTTTTTTTTTGGAAGCTTCTTGATTTGCGCTTCTTATGTATCTTCTGTTCCCTAGACATTTGCAGCCTTGACGCTGTCAGTGTTCTGCTGTCTTTGAGCCCTTTCACTAGAATACAGCCACACAGCACCATGTAGGGAAGTGTCTCCAGTAGGACTGGGTGGGGTAGAAGTGGGGGCCCAGCAGACCGGAATGGGGCTGAGTGGCCCAGACACAGCCCTGGTGGTCACTCATGGGAGAATGGGAGCCAGGGGCTTTGGCACTGAGTCCCCCTCTCTTGGGTGCAGGCTACTACTTCTCTGGGGATGGTGCATACCGCACCAAGGGTGGCTACTACCAGATCACAGGGCGGATGGACGATGTCATCAATATTAGTGGGCACCGGATTGGGACAGCGGAGATTGAGGACGCAATGGTGAGCAAGACGGGCCGCCTCTGACCCATGGTGCCCCTGTTTACCTCGGATTGGGCAAGATGGGGCAGGAATTGGCACCTTGAGTGGCAACTTCACTTGTGGTGCCTGGGGCCACCGTATGTCCCCTTTTGTTCTCTGTCATGCATAGGCTGAGCACCCTGCAGTGCCGGAAACCGCTGTCATTGGCTACCCCCACGATATCAAGGGTGAAGGTGAGTGCCCAAACAGGGCTCCTCCTGCCCCTTCTGATGGAGAGGAGATACAGTGGGCAGAGATGGGGGAACTGTTGTCAAGCTGGCTCTCATGAGCACAGATTTTGGGTGACGGTGCTGAACAGCATGTGTGTGGGATTAGGGCCAATTCTGACATCCCAAGGAGCCATGACTGATTCGGAACTCAGAGAGTGTCCTCACTCAGCCTTTCTGGCAGCCACAGGCCACTGTCAGATTTTCCGTAACAAAGTGTACCCTGCCGTGCTCACATCGCCTCTTCCCAAGGGCTCGGCCCAGGGCCTGGTGGCGGCTGTGCAGGTCCAGGTGTGCCCTTGACCTGTTCTGTGGCTAGAGGCGCTCTTTCTGGAGGAATCTGACCCCTAGTCCCCACAGCACAAGGACATGCTGGTGGATGCAGAGCGAGGGATTGGGACTGTCTTCTCTACCGAGGACACACTGTGGGGTAAACTCTACCTGTTTCACAGTGCTCGGGGCTGGGGAAGGGCAGGAGCACTTGCTGTTAAAATGCCAAGTCCTCTCGGACCTCACTGGCCTGATGTGGACTGGACACATGCTGACCCTGCACTAGGACAGTGCCACTGCATCAGGGCAGTGCCAGCAGATGGCCTCTGCTGCCTACCGGCAGGGACACCCCGTGTTGCAGTGTATCCCCAGTGTCGTCTACCCCCAACCCATTGTGTGGACTATTCTGTACATACTCAGATGCTTTCTTTACACTTTTCTCCAAATGCTTAAAAAAACCATTTTCCTTTCCATGAGAGGAATGTGCCCCTGAGGCCTGCTGTCCCTGTGCTGTGAAGGGAGACACGGTCATGTAGTCCCTCAGGGGCCCTGTGCACTGCTCAGAGTGCAGGCAAACCCCTGTGTCTGGGCTTGAGGGGACCAGTGCATCCTCAGGATTGGGGGCCTGTCTGCACCTGAGCCTCCTGGCTAAGGCCAGTGCACACAGGCAGGGCCTGGGTGGTGGGAGAGCCAACCCCTCCCGCTGCCTTGCTGAAAGGAGCCACAACCCAGGCCTTTTCCTTCCTGTTCTGGGAGCTCATCAGTCCTGGAGGAACCCTAGAAAACAAGTGCAAGACCAAGGGCAGCTCATTGAGCCATGAATTTCAGACCCAGCCTGAGGGAACATGGGAATCACTCTGTTTCTTGGGCACTCTGGTGGGGCTCCCTTCTGCGGCTACACTGGAGCAGGGGTCTCGTCAGTGGTGCTGCCCTCACAGGACTTCCTTGAAGCTGGTCCGGTGTGGAGCTCTGGCCCTAGTTGGGGGGCTTGGTGGCCTCTTTGCAGTCACACGGTCTCTCTCACACCCTGAGCAGGTAGGAAGTTTGTATGTCACGGCTCTGGTGACGGACGTTTCTTGACTTCTAACAATGTGGGCAACACTCATCTATAGCACAAGAGTAATCCATAGCAGTTCTTGGCAGGTGCTACAATGACCTGCCAGTGCTGTGTGGTTCTCTGTCCTGCTCCCTCTGTTCTGTGCTTGACCTGACCAAGTCAAGCCCACGGGTCTTGTGGAGCCTCCGGCGTCTCTGGCTGGACCCTTGTTGTTGGGACAAATGGCTCTTCACATGGAGAAGAGTGGACTCTGACCCCTGCATCACACCCCACATAAAGATTAATTCCAGGTGGAGATACTGAATCCTTTGTGGTACATGGTAGGATATGGAAAACCAGACCCAGCGCTTATGTTAATCTGCATAGGCAGCATAGCACGACAGAACTCTCCACCATGATGGAACTGCTCTGCCACAAGCCACACGGGGCTGGAGAGCACGTGGAATGGGGCTGCTGTGCTGGCCAGCATGTGCCCATAAGGCCAATGTCGGCCTGCTGTGCCCCATGCACCACCTCACAGATATCTCCTATCAGCCTATATTATGGGCATCCCCCAGGGAGGGAGCTGTTCAGGGAGGTTAAGTATCTGTCCAGGGCCGCACACAGCCAGTCAGTAACAGCCATGCTGTGAAGTTCTCCATCCTACACAGGACCACCACAGGGACCTTCTGTGGAGCTGTTAGACTCACTTCCACTTTGAATGGAAAAAGGCAACTTTAGAGTTGCAACTAAAGAAAACAGCTGCTACAGTGTCATCATCATGTGATTTGAAAGTCCTTTTGGTTGATGGTGATTTGTATACAGCACTCTGCCTTGGGGATGGCTTGTAGTCTAGCACACCCAAACTGTTGCGTCCCTTCCAGCTGCATTTGCCTTCATCGTGTTGAAAGTTGATGCAGATGACTCAGACATGGTGGTGGAGGAGCTCAGGTCAGCAGTGGCCACCAAGATTGCCAAGTACGCTGTGCCTGATCAGATTTTGGTGAGTGGTTCTTTAGCCTCTTCTCCCCTTCCTGCAGTTAACAAGTAACATGATCTCACATGTGCATAGTGCTACCAAAAGTGACATTAGCTGTTTGGTTTTTCCTGGGTGGTAGGTGAGGATGGCGCATCACTGCAATGTGTGTGCATGTGTCTGTGTGTGTCTGTTTGTGACGCAGAGAGAGAGGAACATAGCACCCAAACTTTACCCAGCTCCCCTCTGTAGGAATCAGTTCTAGTCAGGGTTAGATGCTCTCTTGCTTTGGCATCTACAGGCTGGTTACAGGAACAGGACTGGGTGGTGAGAAAATTAGGGATTTTAAATAGGGAAACATGTAGGCAGTACATGTAGCCTCCATGTGGTCTCTAATCAATTTCTCTCCCCACAGTTCCTGGTGCCAGCAAGGGAGGTATAGCCAGACCCTGTCTGAGGAAGTCTGTGTTTGAGTCCCTTGCTGGGAAGAAACTTGTTCAGCCCCTTTAGCCTTTTTGTCCCCTCCTTTATCAATATTCCCCCTCTAGTGATGCCTTGGTTTGTGGATGGTCCTCTGAGGTAGGAAGCCCAACTTCACTTCAGATGGTGGACGGGAGCCTCTGGTCTTCACCGTTTTCACTTGCTACTTGACATTTTAAATGTTCAAACTAATGGCCTGTTGACTAGTTTCAGGGATACCTGAACTCCCCTTCCCACTGCTGTCGGGTCGATTCCAACTCATGGTGACCATACAGGACAGAGTAGAACTGCCCCATAGGGTTTCCAAGGAGCAGCTGGTGGGTTTGAACCACTGACCTTTTGGTTAGCAGCCGTAGCTTATATGAACCAATTTATTTATAAACACAGTGTCACTATCAAAGATCTCAAACACAGCTCTTCATGTATTGTCATTTATATAGAATGTGTCATGGTTGCTTGAAAATATTAAAGATTAAATGTTCAAACACTAACTGAGCCAAAGTTTTCCTCTTAAGTAGCTCTCACCTCTTACATAAGACAAAGCCAACTGAGTCCCAGGCCAGGGGTGCAGATGAGGTGCCATGCCCTGTGGTTGGCTGTGCTGCTGTGGGAAGCTCTCCTGTGGCACAGGCGACTGGAAGAAACAGAAGCATCAGCAGTGAGGTGTAAACCCCAGATAAAGAGGGCCTTAGAGACACCTGACTTGATCATAGACATCTTGAGAATTGTTTATCCTGCCCTTGGGTTGCTTTCAGCGTTCGTGCAGATTGTAGGAGGAAAAAGCTGGAGGAGGCCATTAGCCCCTACCATTCCCTGTGCAGGGATATACTCATCAACCAACCAGTATCAAGGGATAATCTTCCCACCCCAAACACTAATGCTGTATCCATTCCTTGCCAGGTGGTGAAACGTCTCCCCAAAACCCGATCTGGAAAAGTCATGAGGCGGCTCCTGAAGAAGATAGTCACTGGTGAAACTCAAGACCTGGGAGACACCACCACACTGGAGGACCCCAGTGTCATCACAGAGATACTGAGAGCCTACCAGCAGTACAAAGACAAGCGACCTAGCTCTTAGTCAGGAGGACATGCCTCAACCTGTGAGTCTCTGACAAAAACCAAGTGCCTAAGTCCCCAATTTTCTTTCTTAGAATGTAGCTCTGAAGTTGGCTTTTTCCTAGACGTCCCAGAGACAGCCCTGTCCCAACACATAATCCCCACTGTTACTAATGTGAAATCAGTCTGTGTTTAAATCCTTTTCTTCTGCTGGCAAACCCAGAAGTGTAACCCATAGGAGGTACAGTCAGACGTGGGTAGGATTCATTTCACTTGTCTTGAATTTGGCTTCCTTGAGTGGAAGTCATTTCCATCCCCACTTTCATGTCCTCTTGAGACTACACAAAAAGTTGAAAACGGTAAAACATGCCTGCCCAGATGACTTAGAACTAAAAGCAATACTATTTTCCCAGATGTTTCTAGGTACAAAAAACAGATTTTATTTTTGTACGTTTGTATTTTGGGAAAATAAAGTACATGCTCTTTGTAACACTTAGGGTTAGGAAGATCTCCCTTTGTGCCTTCACTGGTGGGTAATTAATTGTACTGAGAATCAGAGGGAGCACTTTTAATTACTGTTTAGCAAACTTGGAAATCTTACTTGAAAATCTAAACTCAGCCGTCTTGAGAGGGTCAGATCTTCAGCACTCTGTCCTTGTGTATTGTTTTACTGTGCCTGGTGTGTTATAATGAAACTACTCCGAAAAGCTGTGGAATGGACGTGTGCACCCAGTAGCTCACCCAGTCACATGTTCTTTCTCCAAGCTGTGATCTGGAAAGCTTTTTTTCCTTGGATGCCTCTTGGTAGGAGGCCGACACTGCTCCCATACATGGGCTTGTCAGCAAGAACTCAGGCGACTTGTTACAGCACTGATTTTGTGGGGTTTGGGCCCTGGGAAAACACTGCCTATTTCTCATTATGGGGCTGGGTAATAGTAGCAACTGATGCCCTATGCTGATACTTGGAGCACTGAATCAAGGGTTTTTTTGTTTTGCTTTTTAAATGAACGTGTCTTAAGTCTTCTGAACATTAGCAAGATGATGTAAATCAGTAAGTCACAGTATGCTTATTCTCTAGCTAAGTGTGCATGGTGGAGTGTGTGGAGTGGGGTGAGGTTGTCTCATCTGTGCTTATCATGATGCAATTGATGAAATTGCTGACACAAAGCCAGATGGGGGTGCAAGGGCCACACAGACTGATCTGCAGGGGAGTCCAATAAAGATTTATTTTGTTTCATTCTCTTCTGTTTGTTGTGATGTTTTTGATCAAATAATGCTATTCTTTTTTTGCTGAATATAACCCTAAGGACGAAACTGGAAGAGGCCTGTTAACTCTAAAGAGAAAACCTAAAAAAGTCCATCTTCTTACAGGGAAGAAATGTACAATAATACCCCCCATCTTAGACTGTGATTGGTAAACTTACCTATTTCTAGATTACTGTGCTGTCCAGTACACTAGACACATGTGACGACTTAGATTTACATTAAGTTAAATCAAATCAAATCAAATTAAAAACTAGTTCCTTGGTCACAGTAGTCACATTTAAATTGCATAAGACCACAAGTGATTGGTGTCCTGCCATGCTGGACAGCAGGGAGAAGAACACCCTCATCACTGCAGGACGTCCTGTTGGTCAGTGCTGGTCTAGAACACAGATGAGAATGAGGAAGCAGAAAAGACGTCAAGGCAGCCGAAGTCAGGGCCACGGATGACACATGCGGGAGGCACAGGCTTTCTAGCGGGAGAGATAACTCTCTGCGGATGTGGGCGGAGGGATTTTCTGTCTCCATCACCGAATTGAGAAGCAGGTCTTTGAGGAGAACATGAGGAGAATTTGTGCCATGAGGGATGGCATCTGAAGGCCTGAGTCAGCCCTGCAAGGCCAGGAGGAACACTGTCCACAAGCCAGAGTCAGGGGCAGCAGGTCCCAGGTGGCAGTGGTTTGTTCCTGTGCCGTGGAGCTGGGTGGGCATGGGGCAGGGGGGACAGCAGCTGAGGAGGTGGCTCCCAAATGCCATCTGAGGTAGACTGAATGTGCTGGAGAAGACCTGTTGTAGCTCCTGTGGGTTGTGTGGGGGTTCATGGTAGGACTACTCTCTTGCTGGACCGTACATCCTCACCAAGGTGGGGACAGCAAAGGGTCACACACAAAACTTAAACTAGCCAGGGCTCCTGTTTTTCCTGCTCAGCCTTCTTCTGGTAAAGATACCCTCATTGCTGTCTGGGGACCAGCCTGTCTCCTACTTCACTGGTGACCCCACCTCCAGCTGCATTATTCACATTACTCTGGCCTAAATGATAGGTCCAGGGCTGGGCATGTGACACTGTCAGAGACACTGAGAAACAGCAAAGAGACTCCTTTGGGAAAGGGATGGCTGCCCACCCTGCTGGACTGGAGCCAGAGAGAATGAGAAGACTAGATAGTAGCCTTCTCACCACACAAAGGAGAACCTGCCCGTGAATGGGGCAAGTCCAGGAGAGATGGGGCCCACGAGGCCCTCTAGTCAAACTGTCCCCACCCTGCCTGGACTGTACTCTTTGCTCCTGGTTTTCTGTCACTCATAACTGGAATGTCCTAATCAAGACCCCAGTCAGTGCAACTGAGGAGCAGAGAGAAGAGTAGGCTGCTCCATGACAGCAGAGAGAAATGTCTGATAGTGTGAGAGCAGGATCAGAGGTAGCCCATCTGAGCACATTAAGTGCACCAACAAGCCAGTGTGGTCAGTTACACTGGTAATGGCCATAAGCCACGAAGGTAAGTTTTATTCTGATTAGGAAAGAAGGAAGTACGCAGCACCTTTTAATCATGGCTAATGTTTGACTGCACGATATTTACCTAATGGTCAATTATGAGACAGTGTTGAGCACACGCTCTTCCCTGATTCATCCATAGCAGCACAGTGTATGGAGAAGAGGCCCTATGTATTTCCACGCCATCTACTCAGCCAGAGTGGCCGCTGTGGAGATCTGACTGTGCAACACGCAGTTAACAGAACCTCAAGAAGGGAGATCCCACAGGGCCAGGTGTGCGTGTGCTGTGTCATCTGCAGCACGGTCCCCAGCATACCTCTTGAGCACCTGCCCCAAGCCTTTGGGCCAGCTCTGTATCTCCCATATCCTCATCTTACCTTCACTCTTGCCTTTGGAGGGAGATACTGTTATCTGCACCCCACAGAAGAGGTGCAAAGGTGGCTGAGCTGGATTTGGACTTGATTTGTCTGAGCCTGCACTCATGACTCAGGCTCAATCCAAGTGTGTGATGACAGCCCTTTGCTTTATTTTCCTAAAGGCTCTTGCTGTTGTACTCTGAGTATAGGAATTAGTATGTTGGATAGGGGAATGAGGAAACTGGGACCATGAGGAAGCCCTCCTGGAGATGGTGACTTTTTTGGGGGGATGCCAATTTGAGTTTTAGTGATCTCTAATCTGAGTTATATAATTTTTTCCTTGATCATTGCTTGGGAATTTTGCTGCATAATAGGATTAAATGTGTAATTTCTGGGTCTGTGAATACCAGTTGGTTTTCATCTAGGGTATCAAATGACTTTGCAATTTCATATTATACAGACTGTATGAACAAAAAAGAAAGGCATTCTGGACTGTTCCCTAATAAACACTACTAACCGAATTCTGAAGGAAGCTGCCTCCCTCAAACTATCGATACGGAAAAGAAAAACTAGAGCATGTGAAAAACTGTTGGGCCATTTACTTTCCTACTTTGATACTTCCTTATAGTTACTCTACAGGGTGGTTGCTGATGCTCCACTGTTTACCATAGAAATAGCTAACAATGTTCCTGAGCTGCTGGGCAAGGATCCCTTTTTCCATCTTCCAGGATTCCTGTCCTATGTTCATTTGGCATTGATGCAATGCCCTTTTGATATTCCTTAAAGAAATTGCTGCAAGAGTAAAAGGGCTGGATGTCCAACCTGCCCTTACTCAACCTATGGCAGGTTCAGTCGGCAGAGGGCACTCGGCCTTTGGGAAGAGCAGTCCTGGCTTGCAGTAAAAAAGACCAAACCTAGCGACCGAGTAGAACAGAATAGAACTACCCCATAGGGTTTCCAAGGCTGGAAATCTTTACGGAAGCAGACTGCCATATCTTTCTCCTGCTGAGATACTGGTGGGTTTGAACCGCTGACCTTTCAGTTAGCAGCCGAACATTTTAACCACTGCACCACCAGAGCTCCTGGTTTACAATAGACTTCAGCAAATATCAGGGAGTCTGCTTTCCAGCTCAGTTTCTGGTATACATCAATGTCTTTGCTTCAGATAGAAACCATCTGCCAGACTTGACCTCAACATCATTCTTCATCCTCAGCACAAACGCCATCCTTAGCACAATATCATATATTTTCCTCAATTTAAAAAAATTTTTTTTTTCTTAATGGAAATAATTTAAACAATGCAGGAATAGATAAATGCAAAGGAAAAGTGCTTCATGATCCCAAATTTGCCTTGCCACTATCCCAGTGACCATAAACTATTTGGTATAATAAATATACATGCACAAAAATCTGGAAGGTTCTCTGCCACATTTTTTCCTGCTTCCTTTCTAAATAAGACTGAATCAACGTTGTACAGTTTCACAGTTTTGTTTGTTGTTGTTACATTCATTCTGAAATCTAAAAAACTCTAGAAACAGACCTTTTTTTCCCCTCAAAATTTTGTCTCAAGCATATCTTGAACTTAAGTGAAGCTATTTATTGTCTTTACTTAACCCACTTGGTGAGAATATTCATGTATTTTGCTGCATAAATAATACAATGGTTGACACGAGGTGTTGTCTAGGGCCCTTTGGGGTTGTTATATAACGTATGAAATATGTGCCTTATTATTTAAAAAAATATCTTTTTAATTGTAAAAATAGCGCACATATAGGAAAATGCATGAAACAAAAACGTATAGTCCAATGATTTATCACAAAGTGAACACACCTGTTTAACCAAAGTAAAAAAATAGAACATTGCCAGGAATCTCAAAGGCCTCCTTGTGCCCCTTCTAATAACAAGGCCCAAAGGGAGGGCCTGACGTTTATGTTAATGATTGTCTTGTTTTCGTTATAGTTTTACCTACCTAAGCATGCATCCCATACATGATATCTAGTTTTGCCAATTTTTTAAACCTTATATAAATGGAACCAAACAATATATTTTTTGATGTCTGGTTTCTTTTGTTCTGCATTGTATTTGGGAAATTCATTCAAGTTGTTACATAAAACTACTGTTTCTATTTTCATTGCTGTAGTTTTCCATTACATGAATATAAGTGTCTGTGTGTGTGTGTGTGTATTATCCATTCTACTGTTGTTGGACATTTGGGCTGTTTACAGTTTGAGGCTATTATGAGTAGTGCACCTATGAACATTTTTGTGAGTGAGTGACTCTTGGTTCACTGGTACACACATTTCTGTAGGGTATGTATGTAGGATGGAAATTGCTGGGTCATAAGGCCATGCATAGTTCACCTTTGGAAGATAATTCCTAATGTTTTCCAAAGTGGATGTACTAATTTATACTTCCACCGTTAGTGTATGAATTCCCATTGCTCCATATCCTTGCCAAGAAGTGATATTATCAGTCATTTAAGTTTTAGCCATTCTGATGAGTATAGAATAGTATCTCATTGTATTTTAATTTATATTTCCCTGATTACCAATGTGACTGAGCCCCCTTTCATGTTTACTGGCCTTTTTGATAAAATGCCTGTTTAAATCGTGTGTCTGTTTTTCCCCCCATTGATTTGTAGGAGTTTTTTAAGTATTCTGAAGAGTAGTCCTGCGCTGCAAATATCTATTCCCACCATGTAGTTTGTCTTTTCAATCTCCTAATGGTGTTTTTGAATGAACAAAAGTTCTTCACTTTAATTTAGTCTGACTTATCAATCTTTTCCATTGTGTCTTTTTAAAAAAAGTCTCTCCTACCCAAGGTCATGAGGCTATTTTCCTGTTTCCTTCTAGAAGCTTTGTTTTATAATCTATACTCTACATGAAATTACTTTTTGCGTATGTTGTGACGTAGTATCTTGTTTCCCCTTATTTTCATATGGATACCCAATTGACTTGTCACCATTTTTTAAAAAAAGACTCTGTGGTGCCACTAATCAAATATCCACACACACACTGGTTTACATGCCTATCCGTGAGCTAATATCTCAGTCTCTATACAGCAGTGCAATAATTTGCCCTCCCACCCTGTTTATCTTCAAGAGTACTTTAGCTGTTCTTGGCCCTTTAAATTTCCACAAACATTTTAGAACAGCTTAAGTTTCTCTTCTCTTGCTCTCTCTCTGGGGATTTTGTTCGGAATTGCTCTGAATCTATAGATCAATTTAAGGAGAATTGATATCTTTAATCCAAGGGACTATATATCATATTCCTCCATTTGCTCTCAATAATTTTTTAAAATAAAATTTCATTTTAATGAGATGAGGATTCTCATTTTTAAACCACCCTAAAAATATTTGTAATTTAAGTGATACATTTAATTCATTTACATTTAATGTAATTATTTATATATTTGGGTTTAAACCTTCCGTTTTACTGACTGCTTTCTATTTTCCCTGTTTCTTGCCTTCCCTTAAAGACTATATTATTCCATTCCCCACCCTCTCCCCTTTAGATGGAAGTTATAAACTATCTTAGTATTCTTTTAGTTGTTACCCTAGATTACAAGTTGTATCCTTGATTTATTAAACTCGAATATTAATTGGTAAACTTTATCCATTTGCTAGTCAATGCAAGGACCTAATAATACTTTAACAACACATTAATTCCTTCCTGACTTCCATATCATGTATTTTAATTGTTTATATTTTAAATTCTATAAAGCATTATTCTAATTT